TTTTTTTTAAGGCTTACCTACCCAATTGATTTGTCTGTAAGCCAAAATAAGGATAAGAGTGTTAGGTAAAAACAAACCTTACGATGAAATCTAAAAAATGTTATTTGAAATTTTAACAGCTAAAATTTTGTTTCACCAAAAGTTTCATATTCATCTCCTAATTCCTATGATAGCATTGTCTGATCGTCCCGCCCGGTTGAGTTTAGTCTGAAGGAGAACTGTTGTCGATAGTGGAGATTGACGTTTCGGCAACCTGAGCAGAAGTCATCATCAGAGTCTAGTGAAGTGTTGTTGCCAGTCGAATGTAACATGTCCTGGTTAGTGTAAACTGATTGGTCAGTTTAGCCGTGATCTTATCGGCTATAACTTTCCCTTGGTTTTAAACAGACATGTAAGACATGCATACATTCTCGAAGTATCAGCCTCGTTTTCAAGAGGTTCATGTAAATAGCTCAATAACATTTTTGTTGTCAACCCTGGCTGGAATATTGCGGCCTGTCAATGAGCCATGACATGTGACTTCATAAAATTAACTATTAGATGTTCACGGCTCCGTTAGAGTGGAGAACTAAAGATAAATTTTACTGCAAATACGGTTATCTGCACCAAGTAAACTAATAATATTTGTTGATTATTATTTATGCTGCCACTGCAAAACATGATCTAGCTACTTATTTTTGCCCTTTTCCTCATTTATTATCATTCCCATGATCATTATTATGCCATTATTACAAAATCAATCTTTTCTTAAACACCTGGTTAACAATACATCATAAAACTTACATTTCAATATATTTTATACATTCTTATAAGATTACAACTTGAATACAACTTTACCACGGAAGATTAATATGTACGGTTCCACTGAATTTCTAAATAAAGAAAAATGTTATTGATCATGATTTTTTTAGCTATTGTATCAGATACTTACTGGATGAAATTTAGAGAAAGAGAGTACATACATTTTATTTATAATTTTTCAGGCTTGGATATCAAGGCCAGTTTCATCTTATTGAAATGCTTTTATTTATTACGAACGATTTTTCCATCCGCACTTTACTGAGCAAATAGATGATATTCGTTTACTTTACGTAAATGTCAGAGGATGGATGGATTTTAAAAGGATTGTTTTGGGGACAGCCACCAGCTACCCTCACCTGGGTGTTCACTGTAAACAATACGCAAGAAAAAAAACAAGACTGAACAATGGAATTGTCTTTAAAAAGGCTAGACGCATATTTGCGTTCATTCAGACTTTCTGTTGGAAAGAAACGTTGTTCTTGTGCTTGCCTAGTATATTGTATACGATCACGTGTTCATACACGATGAGATTTGCACTTATGCTTCTCTCGATGAATATTAAATAGCTCAGTTGATACAAGGTGTTTCAGCTTGTTTCTCAATGAATGGTTCTTTAATAAATGTTCACTCACATAGAGATCTCTTATAAGGTTCGCGGACCGATACGTTCCGAAAACGCTCGACATCTTTTAGTGTGGGTCCACTGCGAACGCTATGTGCATATTTTGTTTGCGTTTAGAGCGTATCATTATACACAGTATCTGTGCTGATCACTGCAAAAACTCCTCTTCTTCGACCATTACACCATACCTTGTCCTCATCAGTCAAAACGTTGCGCATGCGTGTTAAGGACTTGACTGCGATTTGCGACTGAGCGCAAAAAAAGAAAACCGGAATTTTAACTCAGGCGTTTCCCTTGGAAAGCCCGAGTAAAAAGTCCAAGAGGCTATAAAATGTGAGCGGCTTCTCAGATCAGGCTTCCTTTCTAAACCTTAATTTAATTAAGCTATTGTCGACTCTACCAGTGACATTGTACTGAACGGAAAATCGGAGCTGGTATTTGGCCTCTACAAGAGTAAATGATCCGTTAGAACTATTTCACGAAGTTGCAAAGGTAACCGTAATCCCAGAACATGACGTACTTGTCATATGATGTCTTCGAACTAAAACCGTCCAAAATTTTTGTTATTTTCAGAATCTATACTTAATGCCCTTTACAGGGATATATAGTTTCCCATGGTTCCTTCTAAATAGCGTGCGTAGAACAATTTTTACCCTGATTTTTTGACAGCAACTTTAATCATACAAAGCCCTGCTCCTCCCTCTTACATCTGTAGCAGCGGTTGATACAACTCACCGTCAGAAACTGCCTACTTCGTTATTAATACTCAGCTGCTAGAAATTTGGCTGACTTTCTTGAGTTGGTATCAATGATAAAATGTATTTATCAGTTTCTACTAGACAATTTATTGCGATCCAATCAGTGGTAATGGAACTGAATAAAAGTACACAAAATTAATATCGTGAAGGGATATCGAAGATCAATGCAGGTATTTGGCCATTGGGTACACTTGATCCGTTAGTACTTTTGGAAGATTTCTTGAACGTAACAGTGATACCATAACATGAGGTACTTGACATTCCATCAATATGAGCATGCGTTTGACTACCGCCTGTGGTCAGTTTCGATGTTGCTGTGTATAATATACCTGCACGAAGAGAAATCCCTGAAGAAAAACGAACTTCAAACGTCTTAACGGACGATGTGGTGTAGTAGGATCCAGTCTTTTCTGCAATCAAGGAACTTCCACGGTACAATCGGATGCTGACCTGGAAAGTAGTTGAACCGCTGTAGACTCCCCACAGACGATATCCTAGCAGTGTGACGTCACTACTTGTTTGGAAATCGATTGCGTCAATATAACCAGGGTTGTGGTTCCAGCTTCCACTTGGACTTTTGGATCTGCTGCGCCAGCACTCATAATCTGTCGAAAAGAAAGTTAATACAGCTTCAAAAGAAAATGATAAGAGTGATTTTGTTGTAGGTATGTTCATTGTGCTCGTAATTGAAGATTGTACGCGATTTCTTTTTCTTTACTTCTGAACTAAGTAGAGCTAAGGTTTTGCTGTAAAGAAAGTTGGTGAATGATTATTTTTTCAAAATGAGATATTAGTCCTTTCATGGTCAAGTCTATTTCATCCTTCGGTTTTTTTATTGGATTTTGAAATATTTCAGATGAGTTCATCAGCTAAGCAAATAAACGAAATGGCATTGTGATAATTCAGATAATTCGACAGAATTGGAATTCGGCTGTCAAATCAGAGGAATTTTTAAGAAAACGAAAGCAGAAAACTGTAGCGGTTGTTGTACTTTGTACTAACTCATACTGAGCGACATTTTAGGTAGTCTGCTACAGAGCCGTTCTTAGGGTCGTCACGCAACGCGCCTCCCTACGAACATGGGAGGAGCGTTGCGTGACGACCCTAAGAACGGCTGTGTAGCAGACTACATTTTAGTTGAATTTAAGACTTATAGTCACGCTGGTAGATTGAAGTAGCAGATTGATTGTCCCCCATCAACACTAATATCTCTTTAGTGTGTTACTACTATTAAATCTCTGCAAGTTCCATCACCTCGTTTTGGACCTTTCGCCATGTAATATCTGTCCTCGTCCTTAACAAAGTCCTCTGGTCTGACCTCTTTAGTTCGGTTGTTTAACTCACATATTGCAATGAACATGACGACATTATAGCTTTGACATCTGTCATCAGCGAGACAAGCCTCTCTGCATTCCAATGTACCTGGTGTAAACTTGAACGACCTATAGGTGTGGCCCTTAAGCATCATTTGAGCATTTGAGCGATGAAGAACAGCGCGAGGGTAAAAATTGAAGCCCGTCGACCAACCATGTGGAGCACATCAGATCTATAGCACCTGCGAAAAAAGAAGCGAGTGTTTTCATTGAAAAATGCTTGCTTTAAAGGGCGGCGTGTTTGAAAAGCTATATGAGGACGTTAAGGCATCGTGAGGCCCAAAAGATAAACATATGAATAAATATAGAAATATGCCGATTATACAACGGACATAAAATATGATACACAACATACAGTCAGGTTGGCCTTGTTACGCTGACATTTTAAACAAAATAAATTTTACGAGAAAAAGAAAACCAACCTCTCGAATATTTTTGTGGAGAAAATTCCTTCCAAGGTATTGAAGAAAGGCGAAATTTTATCGTTTTAAAATTCGCCCTCCCCTCCTCTTATAGATAGCAATCAGTTACAGTAAAAGATGAGAAACTGAAGAACTACCGGTTGCCAACGGTCAATTGAGGGTGAAATGATGTTTAAAACGAAATGTAAATTAAACCACGCATAAGCCCCTGGCAGATAATTAGCCACTGCCTATCTCCGCGGGATGTTTATTTCTGACTTCGTTGGGAGTGCATCAAAAACATCAGATGTCCTGTTTGACTTTGATAAAAAGGTTTCTAGCACGTGTAATTCAGATCCTTATCGAGATTTATGCAACGATTTCTTTGTAAATGTAATGTATTGTTACAATAATCATATAGTGTGTTCTAGACTTCTTAGCATATCTATGTACATGGGGCTCGTGTCCAGCCGTTATTGTTATCCATTCATAGGCTTTTTTAAAGTTATTGTTTACAGCTTCGCTTCTGGTCAGAACAGCATAAAGGTAATCTTAAAAAGTCGAGCTATAAGTTCCAAAAACTTTTAAAACTATAATCACGAAGAGTTGTTTATTCCTATAGAGAAATCGGGAGGTTTTCTGTTTTCACAGGAAAAAAAATCTTAGTTTTTAAAACACCTGCCACTTTGCTTAAGCTGAAGTTAGACTTTGTTGGGTACGATTTATTTAGAAGTGAATAATTCAGTAATGTAAGCTAACGTGTCACATCACAGCGGGAAGACATATATAAGGCCTTGAAACAGACGCCTCATCGAGTGAACTGAAGCCAGTCTTGTTTGAGAGTTCCTCTTCATGAATAAATATGTGACGCAAGGTTACCAAAAACCTGAGTTAATGAAGTTTGGCATTTAATTTATTTTTTTCGATTGTTTTTAAAATAAACTCAAATTTTGCACGGTTATCAGTTCCAATCATGTTTTTTCTCTCAACAAAACACTCGCTATGACATTGTGAACGAAAATCTTATAAAACATTTATTCATTGTTATTCGGTAAAACGGTCCATTTAACTAATCAATAGTCCTAAAAAGGATGAGTATTTTACCAGTGACAATACCCTTTTAAAGCAGTCTCTGTAAAAGCGGTCCGATACATTTCGGTTCAAAAAAATCGATTTTTTCAAACTTTTCCCAGACATCTGTCTTAGTCTAAAAGTAATCCAAACCACCTTGGCTTTTCGAAATATTGTAAAGGAGTTTTTTTTCGAGCAAAAATCGCCTCGATCAACACTCAAAGGCCTGTTTTTGACAGCACTGTTTAAAAGCTATAGCAGGACGTTAAGGCTTCGTGAGGCCCAAAAGATAAACATATGAATAAATATAGAAACACACCTGGTATACTTGGGACAGAAAATATCATACACGACATGTAGTCAGGTTGGACTTATAGCATTAACATTTCAAACAAAATAAATGTCAAGAGAAAAAGAAAACAACCCCTTAAATATATTTGTTGAGAAAATTCCTTCTTAGGTCTTACAGAAAGGCGAGATTTTATCGCTGTAAAGTTCGTCCCTCTCTCCTCTCCTATTCAAATCCTCATGGATAGCAATCAGCTACAGTAAAAGATGAGAAACTGAAGAATAAATAATTACTGGTAATTCCAATTTTCTCTTAGAATTTTGGCATCATTGTGGGTCATTTTAGAAATCACGAAATAAAAAAATCGAAGTGAACTGAGTGCAACTTGGACTAACATCGTATGCGGGATTTTGAAATTAAACTCGTTTGATTTGAAATCTAAAGTATGATATTAGACCAAAATAGCACAACACGAAGGTCAACTGCCGTTAAGAACTTAAGTCGCCAGGTAGTTTTTTTTTTTTCGTAATTTCAGGATGGACTGATTAAAATTTCTGCTGGGAAAGAACGACGATAAACTGCTATTATGTGGGCGCGCTTTTTCATCTAACCCTTTTTGCAATTTTTTTTTTCGCTTTTTATGAAAAGCTTTGGAAAATATAAACGCTTACCTGATTAGAAATATCTGTTGTTTCGTAAATTGACTCCGATTAGTCTTCTTCGAGGGTGTGAAGCACTACCGCAGGTTGCCAACGGTCAAATGGAGGTGAAATGATGTTTAGAGCGAAATATAAATTAACCGCGCATAAGCTCCTGGCAGATAATTAGCCACTGTCTATCCCTGCGGGGTGTTTATATGAGAATTTATTGGGAGGGCATCAGAAACATCAAATGTCGTCTTTTACTTTGATAAAAAAGGTTTCTAGCATGTGTAATCCAGATCCAGATTTATGCTACGACTACTTTGTAAATGTAATGTACTGTAATCATAGAGTGTGTTCTAGACTGATTAGCATACCTATGTACATGGAGCTCGTGTGTGGTTGTCATTGTTATCCATGGATAAGCTTTTTTTAAGTTATGGTTACAGCTTCGCTTCTGGTCAGAACAGAATAAAAGTAATCCTAAAAAGTCGAGCTTAGGTTCTTCGTAATCAGTTTTTCAATAAGAGCCGTTTGGAAAACTTTTAAAACTATCGTCGGGAAGAACTGTTTATTCCTATTTGAAAATGGAAGTTTTCACGTTGTCACAGGAAGAAAGATCTTAGGTACAAAACACCTGCCACTTTGCATGAGCTGATAAACTTTATTTATTAAAATTTATTCAGAAGTGAATAATTCAGTAACGTTAAAGGGAAAGTACGGTCCAGAAAAAGTTTATCTCAATTAGAAGACTTTTTCCTCAGGAGTTGGAAAATAGAGTCTCCAGATGGGATTTGAACCCACGACCCTCCGTGATCTAATCGGATGCTCTAACCACTGAGCTACAGGAGACTCTATCTCAATTATTTATTCTACGAGTTTTTTCAAACCATTTTGTTGTAAGAGAACAAATTGAAGCTCGAAATGGTGGTACACTGTGTGTGGTAAATTTTCAATCGCCACCCTTGACCAAAGCCGGTTTCCAACATCATGCGCATTTCCAAGTGGTGTACAAATATATCTTGTCTTTCCTAAGTCTGTTATTAGTTCAACGCGTAAATTTTCTTTACCCCACCAGTCACATTCTCCTGCGAAAAAAACTAAATGACATTTAATACATCGCTAGCAAATTGTCAAGACAGACACGTTTGCGACAAATACAAATTATCCTTCGTCAGGCAG